TAGCAATAAATGCCGGACAGGGACACGTGTCAAGCGCTCATTGGCCGAGGGGTCGCCTCAACTGGTTGGCGCTGGCAGCCGCATGTGGCCGCATTTAATGCGGCTGTTGGATGGGACGTCTGTGCAAGGTACGGTGATCTGTACGCATGTGAGGCGGATATCTTGTCGAGTGAGATGCCTTCGGCTATAGAGCAGTAGCTGAGGGCTCCTCCAACCGATGGCACCCTGGTGCCGAGGGCTCACAATGCCGAGGGCTACTGTTTTCGCCGTTTTCTCCCAGTTTCTTCATTTGCTTGAGAAACCCGTTTTGTGAGAGTTTAGAGCCTTCGGCCAGGGGGCCGAAGGCACCCCTGGCGCGTAGTGCGGGCTGCTTGGTACTCTGGGCGCTGTGATTTGGGCCTACTGGGCCTTCTGGGCCTGTTGGGCTTTTGCTGGAGTAGTGGGAGTCTGTGGGCCGGGGGTTCCTGGGCCATATACTCCATCAGGAGTCCCTCACTCCTTTTGCCGAAAGATACTTGAGGGAAAAGGAGTAATTTGTGCTTGCCCTTTGACGTTGTCCTGTCGTAACCTCTGAAGTTGGTGAGGAGTTGTTGCTTTTATGTCCCTGCCGAAGGCAGTCCCTCAGTTACCCACATGTTGGGACTTGAGGGCTTGCTTTTTTTTTTTGGATAAACTTGAGGGCTTGCTTTGTCGTTTGTGGGAATTTCACTAATTTTGTAATTTAATGAATTTCCCGAGGGGGTCCTCCAGTCCCCCACTCCTTGAGGCACTTGTAAAGTGGTGAAAAGGAGTAGAGTAGTTGTGTTGCTGTTGTGGGCCGCAATAATCTCGTCCCGGGGATCCTTCGGGAGGGTCTCCGCCCCCTGCGAACGAACCCGGGCCGAGTGGGCCTGGTTGATCTGGTGGCGAGCATCATTGGCATGAAGGGGTGCCTTGCCTTTGTCCCGAGGGGGACGCTCCTCGTCTGCCCTCGAGACAGACCCTCCGCTTTCCTGGGGCCTTTGGAGTGCTCTCCCTCCGAGGCGGTCTTGGACCCCTCGGCGGTCTGGCCCTCCTCCGAGCCGGTTGAGGGCGGAAGTGCGGGGCCTTTCTCTGTTGTCATGGTGGCGGTCCCGGGACTGAACTTCCTGGGAGGACGTATCTTGGGCCACTACCCCTTCGTCATTCCTAACCCGAGGGAGGGGGTTGCCGAAGGGGTGTGGCAGAGGGGGGAGTATGATGTTCTCCCCAACCTGGGGCTGAACCGGAGCCAGGGTGCCGAAGGCACCCGGGTTCTGAGTGAGCGTCTGGATGAAGGCGGAGAGCGCCGATTGCACGTCGATGGTGAGAACCGGAGGGCTGACTTGGTCATCGCTCCGGTTTTTCTTCTTGGCCTCGATGCCGAGGCGGGCATCGGGGGCATTTTGTTGGATCTGAAGGCGTAGGTCGACAGCTGCCTGTTCCAGCCCAGCGATGACACCGCCCTCGGGAGCCCTGTGAGAGGCTTCAGGGGCGTTGACGTCACCGAGGGCCAGGTTCTTGTCTTCTACGTTCTTTGAGTTGGCACGTGTTGTTCTCACCATTTTTGGTAGAGGGTTAGTGTTTGGCGAAGGGGGAGGGTTTCTTACTTGATTGTTCAACCTCTCAACGAGAGCACCAAATGATGGATAGTCTACCCGGGGGTATATATCCGAAAGGTTATTGTGGGGAATAACTTAGAGAGAAGTCAGAGCAAGTAAATGTAGAGAGAGAGAGTGTATTCAGTATGAATGCCGTGGTTACAAATGGGGAAATGGGGTGCTATTTATAGTAGCAATAAATGCCGGACAGGGACACGTGTCAAGCGCTCATTGGCCGAGGGGTCGTCTCAACTGGTTGGCGCTGGCAGCCGCATGTGGCCGCATTTAATGCGGCTGTTGGATGGGACGTCTGTGCAGGGTACGGTGATCTGTACGCATGTGAGGCGGATATCTATTCGAGTGAGATGCCTTCGGCTATAGAGCAGTAGCTGAGGGCTCCTCCAACCGATGGCACCCTGGTGCCGAGGGCTCACAATGCCGAGGGCTACTGTTTTCGCCGTTTTCTCCCAGTTTCTTCATTTGCTTGAGAAACCCGTTCTGTGAGAGTTTAGAGCCTTCGGCCAGGGGGCCGAAGGCACCCCTGGCGCGTAGTGCGGGCTGCTTGGTACTCTGGGCGCTGTGATTTGGGCCTACTGGGCCTTCTGGGCCTGTTGAGCTTTTGCTGGAGTAGTGGGAGTCTGTGGGCCGGGGGTTCCCGGGCCATATACTCCATCAGACCCGCTACTCTAACAAAATTTTTCGCCCCCCTTGACTCAAAATCCTGGATCCGTACTTGCTTTTCATCCCGATTATATTGTTGATTTAGTTATGAGTTGTGAGTAGTTTTAATTAGGGATTTGAGATTGATGAAGGGGTTGGTCATGATGTATGGCTAGTTTCTTGATGGATTGATTGCATGAATCTTTATTTAATTTGTGCTTGAATGATTTAATTGATATCTTTTGTAACCTAGAACTGTAGGTAAGATTATAATCGTTCGCTACGAGATTAGTAACGATTAAGGGGCCGTACGCTCGCTCGTTTTGACAATAATTTAGATACCTATCGCATGAGAGATCAGTCCGATTCCCTAAATTATTGTACTCTACGCCGCAAGAGCGCTTAGAACTTAGAATTGATTAGCATTGCTCAATTAATTAATTTTCATGTGATTACGCCCGATCAGGCAGAAATCTGATTACCCCGGAATCAATTCTTGTTCCCTTTCCATCATTAACTATAAAGAACCAAGCTTTATAATCTTTTATTCGCAATTTAATTTTCCAACCAATCCAAATCTCGCACATCACATTTATTTTATTTATTTTAATTGCTGAATTTATTTAATTTTTGATTTCCTTTTTCAGTCCCTGTGAAGATGATACTCGTACTTTTACCCTATACTGCTACATTATTTTAAGCGCGAAAAAACTCACATCATGTCTGGTGAAACCGAGATGCTTGAAATATGTTGTTGCTTTTATTTTAATTTTCATTTTAGTAGCAGATGTAGCATTGTTGTTAGTGGAGTCTACCACATTGCTGGATTAGCGAGTTGGACCGCTCTTATGCGTGACTACAAGTCTAAGTCTCATCCTGGTGTAGCCTTTGGTATGGCAATTTTGTATCTGATCATTGTTTTTAATATGAACTAAGTTATCTTTTGCCAAAAAACACTAATGTATTATGTATATCAGTTTGAACGGTTATAAAACATATATTGGCTTATGTTGATATTTCTTTTGAATGCATACGTAAGTCTTCGAGGAACTTTGAATGCATTCGCTAATCGATCAAACATTAAAAAATCAGTTGTTATACTGTGGGAGTAGTCCATGGTGAGCATGATGCTCTCACAGCCACAGCTAAACCACGCGTGAGCATTAACATGCGTGCACAATTTTGTTTGTCCTGGTAGCAGGGTGATATAACTCGCATGTACAGGAATGTAACTCACGTTGATAAACAATGTAACTGCAGACAAGTGGAAATGTAACTTGTCTAATAGGGAGGGGGTAAAGGTTAAAACATTGATTTCAATGTAAATACAGGAAAAGAGTGTAATTGCTCAATTACTTTACGTAAACAGTGAATATGTTTGGTTTTTAATATCATGACTATAAAAAATGATTTAAACAATATTTGTTTTTAAAAATGTTTTTTTAATGATTTTAAAAAATGATTTTTAAAATCATTTTTATTCAAATAAGAGGGGTTTATTCTATGATGTAACTCGCACTAATTAAAAATGTAACTTACGTGTATACAAAATGTAAGTTGTTGAGGCAAGTTCAAATGTAACTTGCACATAAAAAATTTAATTTGTGCATTAGAAGATGTAACTCGATCACGCACAAGAAGATGTAATTCGCCCACAAGAAGATGTCAGTCGCACATAAAAAGATATAACTCCATATATATACTATCAAATGTAACTCCATAAATTGTTTATAAACATGATCTGACTCACGCATATATAAAATGTAATCTCATGTTTTATTAAATTTAATCGAAATAAATAAACTTAATATTTTAAAAGACACTAAAACATAGAAAAGTGATAAGGAATATATCATAGACAAAAGTGTATGAATATGAAAAAGATTTTACAAGAAAAGTGTATAAATATTAAAAAAATACAGAAATAATAAATTTGTTTGTAATTTCAGTTGAAGAAAAAATAGTATGTTTATGAAATACAATATACTTATTTTATGTAGATTAATAATAAAGTGTTGTATTAAATTGGAATGCAAAAAAGTTAATTCAGTTATAATTTAATTAGTCCAAATGTAACTTGCACATAAGCAAATGTAATCTGCGTATAAAAAGATGTAACTCGCGCACTAGAAGATGCAACTCGCACATAATAAGATGTAACTCGTGCATAAAAAGGTGTTACTCGCGTATAATAAGATGTAACCCAATATATTATCAAATCTAACTTCAAAAATCACAATAAACAAACTCACTGTCTTAAAAACATCTAAAAAAATATAAAAGAGATAAAAATATATTATAGAAAAAAATGTATACGTATAAAAAAATATTTTAGAATTAAAAATAGTGTATAATTAAGAAATGCGACATATTTATTTTATTCAAGTCATTGCTAGCATCTTCAAGTTTTTTATTTTTTCGTCTAGCAACATTGATTTCATTTTTTCCATTTACCTCTTCCGATCAAAACATGGACACACCAAGGCGCAAGGATGTGATCACTATTATAGGTAGGAAGGGAGACGTGATTAAAACTTCCCAAAATAGACTAGATTAAAACCCAAACCATGAATCCTTCAGGTCTCACTTTAGGCTGAGTAACTTTATGATCATAAAGGGAGGGTGGATTGTAGTGATGTGTCATAAGAGAGATATAGAGATAGAATTAATATTTGAATGAAGTGGTGTGTAGGAAAAAATTGAAAAGATGAGAGAGATATAAATAAAAAGTAGACCTGGGTCTATGACAAGGTCCATAAATGGACCACGGGATTCAAGGAGGAAAGTTGATGAAAAGTGGGTTAAAAATGATTAAAAAAATGAAAATGAAAATAAATTAGGAAATATGTGGGTCCTATACATAAAAATCGTGAGATAAAAAATGGGACCCATGCGTAAGGGTGTGTAGGAGATCACACCCTTGCATTGGAGATGCTCTAAGTATTCACATGACATCAGAGACATAGGGTTTTGATTTTCTTCTGTTGTCATGAACCCTACGTCGACCTCTTTCACAGAGACCATGTCATTAGCCGACGTTGGTAGTGCGCCCGCCTCCATTGCGGTGTAGCCGCCTCTCTCCACCGTTACACATATTGGCCCATTCGGCATTGTTGCTCTGTCAATATCCACCGGTGCCACTTTTTCCACCGGCCCGGCTCCGCTCGCGCATGACGATCTCATCTCTCCTCACCGACTGTTGGGATTGGAAAATTCTTCTATTCAATATCAAGAACAGAATTACAATAGGAGGAGCAAACTCTCACACTCAACTATTACAAAAAACCAATCCTCACCAATACACTTCTACACTAAGTGTATTTCACTCTTCACACACTTTTCTCACTTTCTAAACTCATACTATGAACAACAATGGAGCACTCTATTTATAGGGCTGGTTTGGAGACATGAGGAAGTTTCATCCAAGCTTCCTAGTTATCTCCATATCTTCTCCCACACCTATTTGTTGGAGAGCTCTTTCCAAGAAGGTGCCTCCATGTTAAGGTGTCTCTTGGCAACTTCCAAGAAAGAAGGTGGAAGATACCTACAAATCTCCCCCTCCACCTTTTTCTTTATTTCTCTCGTTCCTGCGGTGCTCGTTGGCTCCCCCTCGCTGGCAACAAGTATCACTAGTGTAGAAAACACTTTCTATATGGGTTAAAAAACACTTTTTATGTCGGTTCCCGTAACGACATAGTAGCCAGCGATATAGAAAGTCGGGCTCTTTTCGTGTCGGGTAGTTGTACCCCTTATAGAATGTTTTTTATAACGGTTACGAATTTAACCGTTATCGAATGTTTTCGGTGTCAGTCCATTACTACCCAATATAAAATCTTTTTTATATGGGTTAACCACCAACCGTTATAGAAAGTTGATTTTAAAAAAAAAATCGCATTTACTGTCACTTATTGTACTAATCCCATTTATTGTACTAATCGCATTATTTTAAAAAAAAATCGCAACCGTTATATATATAAGTGATTTTATATTTTAATGAGTAATATGTAAGTAGCCCCTAGCCCAATTTTTTACATTTATTAATTCAAAACAAAAAGAACAATAGACTCATTTGCACACGCGAAGTACAGAAATCAAAAGTAAATAACATAACGACGCACAACACAAACAAGCATTTAGTACAATAACTACTTTATTGTAGCAAGATCACTGGCCAACTCCAGATTACTACTAACTTACTATTGACAACTTCAAACAAAAGCATTGTGATTTACTGTTTGTTCATCCACGAGCGGAAACGAGACCAGGCCAGCTCTACATAGCATTCTCAACGTCTTACTCTCTCATTGTTCTCCTTTACCCTGTCAGAGGAGATGCCCGTCTCTTGATAGACATGCACCTCATGTTCCAGATTCCTTCAACTTCTATTCCAACTCTTTCCGAGTCCTGATATCATAAAACAACTAAAATCAGATTCCACACAAAAATGGTTATTACTAAATTACCCTTTAGTAATTTAGTAACAATTCAGACATGCATACTAGAGACCTCCCCTCCCCCCGAGTGAAACATAACAACTGAGCAAAAAAAAATGAAGCTATTACTAAATTACACCCAATGACTTCAACTTTTCTTAATCTGGAAATTACAAGTGTCCCCACGTTTTAATGCACATGTAGTTCAAATCAATGCTCTTAGTTAATGGTCAGAAAACATGTAATCAGCTTATGCATAATCACTTTGAAATGCATAGGCAGACTTGCTGGCAATTGGATGTCCACTTCATTAAAGACAAATACAGATTGTTCTCAGCAAGGAAACATACCCATTAATTTGATTGCAATAGTTTGAAATCTGAATAGTGATGAGAAAGCTATCTAATCGAGAAGGCTCTCGAATTGGCTTAAAGAAGGGATTAGACGGATCCTCCTCAGTTAGTGGTACTTCTCCAGCAGCTTTACGTGCCATGTTCTCCACCCTGAAAACACCATGCCAGAATACTATGATAAAACCCCGAAGCGGCTTCCATTATTAAGCAAAATCTATTAAAAGGCCTTGTTTTGATACGCCACCACTCAATAAAAAATGAGGCATTGAACGTTGTCTATATTAGCTAACATTGTCTGAACACACACAGAAAAAGAAAGATATATACATAAACGGTTATATGCGTGCATTTAAACCACCAATTTGCATTTGAGACTACAAATAAACAATCATATGTGTATCTACACTCATAACCACCCATTTGCATTCAAGACTACAAATAAACAAATAATAGTAAAATTTAATAACACACAAATCAATTACAAGTGCAATACCAAATCCAATCATTCTCTTACAATCAAAACTTACCTTTCAAGAAAGACAAAACTATGTAAAAAATAAATAAAAAACAGATGACACATATAAATAGACCCACCAAACATGCTCAAAGAATTTTGAAAAATATAATAGAAGAAAACAAAAAAGTAATGATTTATGAATATGTTGTTACAGATTTAGCTAACCATACTGGACTGGGTGCTTGTGGATACTTAATTAGTGCTCTGGAAACCAAACGTTCATTTGTCATCTTTTGTAGCGTACATTTCACATCAACCGATAGATCTATGACCTCATTCAGTAGTTCCTCGTCTGACCTTAGATTGAGATCAAAGGACAGCTCAGGAAACCTCCGATCATGTGATTGTTAGATCTTCTTCACTATGCCTAATGCATCAGAAAATGACCCCACCAGTGTGTAAAACACTACTGAAAGAAGCTACCACCAATGGATCCCGAGGTCTATCCGACAAGCCTTTGTGGAATGCTAAGATTGCAATCCTGTAGACAACACAATCTAATGCTTAGCTAAAATTTGTAGCATGATATGCAAAACTTGTCAACAGAAATGTTTTCTAACCATAAACAAGAGTGACATGGTCGATCATGTGCCAAAAGTCTATGCAGGCAGGAAATCATAGACTTGAGCACCAAAATAGAGGAAATATATTTAAAAAAAATAAGCAATACAACATAGTCTAAGATATTATCACAGTATGTCTATGTAAGTAAGCATATAGAAAACTGGCCATATCATGTGAGAGGGCTAATGCACACAGCGTATCAAAACTACATAAGATGGGAAAGATAAAAAAACAACACATTTTCAATTACCAAAAGCATGTTAGACCTCTTATCACGCCTTTTAAAACCTTGGGAAATAAAGAAAGCAGTCTGCATGTTTACAGTTACAACAGATGTGGCTATGTAACACTGTTTGATATACAAGTACAGTTTGGTTGACCTTAATTGTCTGAGAGGGGTGTCCATACTTTGCAGTGGTAGAGGAATTCTCAGAAGCTTTCTGTGACTTTGTGTTTGAAAGCTTGTAAAAAGCATCAGAAGCTTTCTCAGCCAAAGCTCGGTATTGAATGGATGCCACCACAGTCACAAACACATTGTCCTTTGTTTTAGTTTCGATCACAACGAACACCAATCTGTTGGACACGCAGAGATAGAGTACCAGCAGCCTTGTAACCGAAACACCAAGGAACACAATGACACCCAGGCTCCATTACTCAATCAAATTTGCCAAAGTGCTCCTTCACAACTGCAGTTGACTGATCCACTATAAGGTATCCAAATGATTGACCCATCCTTCAAATAATTTTGCAGAGAACACTAAGAAGCACCACAGAAGTGATTTGGTTGATCTAAAAAACATTGCTGTAAATAAGGGACCAAAGGATTTAAAATTTATTAAATAGATAATAATGAAGAAAAAGACTAGAGACCACCTGGGATGACTTCTGAATGGGATAAGAAGCAATCTGTTGCACTTTTTCATATTTTAAGAAGCACTTTTCCATATTTTAAAGCCAATCTGTTGCAAGTTTTGTTGAAATAAGTAATTTGGTTGATCTAAAAAACATTGCTGCATAATAAGGGACCAAAGGATTTAAAATTTATTAAATAGATAATAATGAAGAAAGAGACTAGAGACCACTTGGGATGACTTCTGAATGGGATAAGAAGCACTTTTCCATATTTAAAAACCAATTTGTTGCAAGTTTTGTTGAAACAAAGTAATTTGATTAAACTAAAAAACATTATTAAGTTTTAGCATTTGAAATGTAAAAACACCTTTTCAATAAAAGAGCACAAAATTAGTGCATTTTAGCAAAGTGATCCCAATCGGGCACTCACATGTGAATGTCAAAACATCCATTATATAAGATATGTAAGATCAAATACCCTGTCAAGCCTTAAGTCCTTAAAAACAATGTGTACTGTCATGTTTCCTGAAATGTTTCTTCTAGGGTTACATCTATATATTTCAGCAAACTTCTCCAATAATATTGAAAATATACTTAATCAACTACCAACATCAAACTACATAAAAAGAAGACGAAACAAAATATTCCTTTAAATTTTTCATTGAGACATTTTAACAAACAGTTAATGCACATTAGAAAACTTAAAACCCATATACCAAACTCTTCAAGCTTCATCACAAATTTAATTTACTATACAACTCCTAGAAAATGCACATAAATCTATTAGGAATAGGATAACTAATTAAATATTTAGAATGTGAAGAAATTACCGGTGGTTAAGGAGATGGAATGCCGGAGCTGTGGCGTCGCCTTCCTCGAAGTCGTCCGGAGCGGCGGCGACGTCTTTGTTGCCAGGAGCAGCAACGGCGTCATCTTCGTGGAAGCGGCGGGAGCAGCGGCGGCGATGTCTTCGTCCAGGTCGTCGGTCTGCTGCAGCGTATCCATCCAATTCGTCAGTCTGTTGTGACGTCCTCTTCGTTGAAATCTTCAGGAGCAGCAACGACGCTTAGGCAGATGGCTAAGAGCAGCAACGCAGCGTTCGTACGTAGGTCGTGAGACAAACAGAAGGGAGCAGTCTCAGCAGCGGGTTAAGTGTTTGCCCGGTGTTTAATCTTGATCCACTACTTTTGGTAAGGGTTAAGACTAAACTGACATGGAAAAACATTTTTTAAAATTATAAAACAGTCCCTATTTCAAAATTAAGTTTTCGGAAATTATATAAATGACCCCGTTTCAGTTTACTATGTCGGTTCTAGTAATGACCGTTATAAATAATATTTTATATTTATAAAATTCACCCGCTCAACTAACTCTAACTTTCAATATTTATAAAAATAACCCCGAGCCTACATATAACAACGGTGCTAAGTGAACCCATATTAAAACCTAGTTGTAGAATGCATATTTTGCACTAGTGTATCCATTCGGATGTGGAGTATTTTCTTTGTGGAACTATGCCTCGCATAGAACGTCGAACATGAATACCTTCAGATTCGTCATCAGATGAAGGCTCCCCCTGCTGAGGAATATCATCACTGTGAGTATTGATGGAGTATATGGGTCTGAGCCC